CCCTCAGTGAATTGTACAACTTGGGGGGGGTCCTCTTGCCCCTCCCCTCCCTTTCCCCACAGGCTGTTTTAATCTGTTGTCATGCATGGGTCCGTAATAAACTCCACCTAACAACCCTGTGCAAATACACTAAACAAGCTGCAGCCTCCTGAGCGCCCCCCCCAGCCTCATGTGCTGGTGGGCTTCAGCAGCTCTTGGGAGGCAGCCCCCCCACCTCTCCTTCTGAGCCGCCCAGCACTGCTGCTTTCTGCTTTCAGGATTCCAGAGCTGAGCCGAGTCCCTCCTGGGATCAAAGGCTGAGAAAACGTGCCTTGAACCCAGTGCAGCCCCCTCCCCACAGTGAGTTTAGCCCCCTCCCATCATCTTCCATACTTACAGTTCTTCTTGGATCTCTCTGGAGACCCCATTGAGCATCATATACTAAGCGTGTGCTTGTGTGTGTTTGTGTGTGATGGCAGTCTCTTGTGCATTTTGGCTCCTTTGCAGTTCTGCCTCATTCCTCATTATCTGAGTTAACACAATGTACGTTCAGCACACAGGCTGGCTCACACAATGTGCTAAGATGCAAAAAAAAAAAGACAAGAAAAGAAAGACAAGAGGAAGATAAGGGAAGGGTTACAAGAATGAGCCTACATTGTGCTAATCCCAAGCAGCTGCCTGATCAGATCCATCCCATAAGGTGTGCTGTTGTCCTCTCTGATAGCAGAATAAGAGAGTTGGAAGGGACTGTGGAGGTCTTCTAGTCCAACCCCCTGCTCAAGCAGGAAACCCTATATACCACTTCAGACAAATGGCCGTTCAGGCTTTTCTTAAAGACCTCCAGTGATGGAGCGCCCACAACTCCTGGAGGCAATTTCCGTTCCACTGGTTATTTGTTCTTGCTGCCAGGAAATTTCTCCTTTAGTTCCAGACTGCTGCTTCTCCTGTCTTTGGAGATCACAGCAAGCGGTGTGTGTTTGAGTGGGAATGTGAGCCCAGGTTTTGTGTTTGTGTTTCCTGAATCAGTTTTGGGTGCAGGGTGAGTTTTGCAAGTGGGAGAACTTTGGGTCACACCAGACTCCTCTCTCTTGGCTCTGCTCCTGCCCCCTCCTCCATACATTGTGTAGAAACTGCAATGCCCCTCCCCCTCCCCCTCTCCCCCTCCTCTCCAGATAACCTGAGCCTCCTTCTGTAAACATCCTGCCAATAGGTCCCTGGGGAAGAGGGGGGGTTTTCTGGCAGATTGCCAGCCAGATAACCCTGCTGGCTGATTGAAGGTGCGAAAGGAGGATTGCCCTGCCAGGCCCTGCTGGGCTGCCAAGGGCAAAGTGGACTCCCGGGGCAGGCCCTGGGGAAGGTGCCAGCTTTGTCCTGAGCTGGGGGGCAGTGGGGGTGGGTGCTCTCGTCCTAACAAGCAAGAGAGGAGCATTAAGGGAGGGGCCTTCCTGTTAAATGTGCTTTAACTGGGCAGTGGGAGAGGACATGTCACCATGGAAACAAAGGGGGGGGGGGCAGCTGAGATTCCAGAAGAAAGCTGCTACTTGGGGGTTGCCATACTTCCTTTCACCTTTCCTGGCAAAGTCCTTCCTTAGGAAATGCATTATAGGTGGTCCTCGACTTACAACCACAACTGAGGGCAAGTTTTCTGTTACTAAGCAAGACAGTTGTTACTTGAGTTTTGCCCCATTTTATGACCTTTCTTGCCAGAGTTAAGTGAATCACTGCAGTTGTTAAGGGAGCAACACACTTGTTAAGTGAATTTGGCTTCCCTATTGACTTTGCTTGTCAAATGGTCACAAATTCGGATCACATGACCCTGGGACACTGTGACCATCATAAAGATGAGTCAGTTGCCAAGCGTACAAATTTTGATCGGGGATGCTGCAACGGCCGTTTAGTCTGAAAAATGGTCATGTCACTTTTTCAGTGCTGTTGTAACTTCAAACAGACACTAAACGAACCGTTGTAAATTGAGGACCGCCTGTGTTCAGATGGATGGAAGGGACGGACCCACCAGCTGACTCAGGTCCTCAGAGGTGGAGCTCAGAGGGGGCTTCTCCAGGGAAGACCCCCACTTTCTTCCTTGCAGAGGCAGGTTGGGAAGCTCAGTGGGACTTCCATATAATATTTGAGATGGTCTCCTTGACTCCGCTTGAGCCCCCCTGTCTGCCCCCCTTCCTCTTGCTTCCCTCTTTCCACAGCCTGGAGGAAACAGGCCCTTCTCCTTCAACTTTCCTCTGTGTGTGTGTGTGTGTGTGTGTGTGTCTCGGAGAGGCACCCTTTGCTTGGCAGACTGCCCGCAGCCCCTTTCTCACGACCTCACCTCTTCCAGAGGTCACTAGGAGTCCTTGTTTCCTGCCAAGAGGTCGGCTGCAGGGTGTTTGTGTGTGTGTGTGTGTGTGTGTGTGTGTGTGTGTGCAAAGGTCCAGCCAGCAGTCCAGAGCAGAGGGACTGGTCCTGGAGGGAATTGAGCCACTGGTGGGAGGCACTGTGACCAGGAGTTCCAAGAGCTGGGAAGCCAAGCTGGGCTGAGCCCTCTGAAGACCTCCTCTGCCCCACCTGGAGGCACATCCCTCACTTGGGCGTGCATGTGTGTGTGCGCGTGTGCCACAGACCGGGAGAGAGGGGTTGGTGTGTTGACTGCCTTGGTCAACTCTGGCTGCCCTTCTTCCAGTCAAGGGCTCTTGTGCCTGAGCAACAGCTGCGGAGTGCCAGCTTGGATCCCTCTTGGATCTGGGCTTGGGCCTGGGGATTGGGGCCGATTCTTCTGGAGGTTCCCAGATTGGGGGAGGGGAGAGAACGATCCTTCCTCATGTGCCCCCCTTTGGGCGGGAACAGATTGTTCCATTATGGAATTGGGTCTCTTTTTTGCAGCGGGATGGATGGATCCCTCCCCGTGTTGGGCTGTCCACACAAGGAATCAGCGCCCCACCCGGAGGAGGAGGAGGAGACGGGCAACCTGCCTTCCTGAGCCCCGAGCATCTCCTGGCCCCACGACCGCTAAAGGGGGGAGGGAGGGAAGGAAGGGCGGGGTTGGGGAGCGTCGGGTGGAGCAATCCTGAATCCCCGCGGGGTAAAGGGGGAGAGGTCTCCTGCGCGCCCCTCCGCTCCCCGACAGTGATTGACGGAATGCAGCGGTTTGTGGGGGAGAGGAGCGAGGAGGAAAGTGGGCGAGCCCTGCCGGGAAGGGTCCCTCGAGGGCCCCCCGCCAGTGGATGCCCTCGGGAGGCATGGGCTTGTGCAGACAGGGCCAGAGCCCCTTCCGCTCGCCCCCTCCACAGCATTCCTCTTCCAACACCTGAATGCCGGCAGGCACCTGGCGGCTCCGCAGGCCCGGGGAGGGCGGGAATTTGAAGAGCCGATTTTGGGGGACGGAGACGAGCCCCGCGATCGGAAACCGGAGCCGGCTCTTTGTCGGGCTCGCCCATCTCGTTTGCAAATGGGCCGTGACCAGCCGGGCAGGGAAGGCGGAGCGGCTCCCGGGGAGAGGTAGCGAGCAAGCGGCGAGTGCCGGCTGCCGCCCGCGCTTCCGCCGCCGCATCTTGTCCGAGTTAGCAGGCAGAGGAAAGGCGGGGGCTGATCACAACCAGATGCTGCGGGTGTTAAATCATCACAGCCGAGCCAGGACGGGCGTGCAGGAAGCGCGCTGGCAAAGGAGAGCGGGGCCCGGATTTCCCCGCTTCCAGAGAGGCCCAGGGCCAGGAAACAGGCCAGGCGGGGCTATAGAGCACGCCCCCCCTCCCTCGGGCAGAAAGCAGCCCTTGTACTGGCAGGAGGGGAGGGAGGGACTATCAGGGCTCTGCCGGGTAGCCGAAATGGTTGGCCTGGCCTCTGACCGGGCAGCATTTTCCTCCTGCAGCCAGCCTGGCTCCCTGCCCACCGGCTTCAGCAGACTGCACCTGTGTACACTGATCTCTGCTAAAATTAGCCTTGATGTGGGGCAACTTTTGTGCTCAGGGAAGCCCAAGAAGTCAGTCTGTGCCAGGCCAAGGGAGAGCTGGCTGGGCCCCCATCCCACCTTCCAGCTGAGCTTGAACTCTGCTGCTTCTTGCCAAAGGCCTCCCTCCCAAGACACTTACAAGGAGCCCCACCTTGGCATTCTCTTCCTCTTGGTGACACCCCACCCTGTTCTTTCCCACAGTGGTGACTGTTCAGCTGCTCAGTCATTTCCCACTTTGTGAGCCAAGGAACCTCCTTGTGTCAGCTGTCAATAATGGCTCCTCAGAAGTTCCTGCCTAGGCCTCCAGTGACAGGATTTGGGGCCAGCCTCTTTTTCCGGTGCCAAAAGCCCTTGTCATGCAACAGCTGCCCAAAGAATCTCTCCCGCTGACCTTTTTCTCAAGTAGGCTGGATTCACACATCCTGGGAGCAAGCATGAGTCAAGAGAGTCATGTGAACTAGGCTTGGGTCTGATCAGGGAGGCTCCATTCATCATCAGGAGAAAGGGTCCTCCTGGACTCCCTCTGCCCATCAGGAGCTGCCTAGTTGAAGCGGCTGGTCAGGGTCTTCCTCAGGAGCCCCAAGTTGCTCCCCCAAGGTGGCAGGCATGGAAGTGTGGGGAGAGGGTGTCTCTCCCAGGGGGTCCAGATGTCTTGCCCTGAACCCTCCTCCTCCTGCTCTTAATCCATTGGCTGCTGATGGTCCTTCTTGTCAGGGAGGTCAGCCTACTGAGCATCTGGAAAAGACCTCCATGGGCTTGCATGGCAGTGGGAATGGCTCAGACAAAGCTTGCCAAGGATGCCATGTGGAGCGATCCCTGGGGTCCTGCTGAGTTAAGAGAGATTGCACCCCAGACCCCCTTTTCCTGAGTCTGGCCAGGAGTCAGAGGTTCCTCTGAGAAAAAGCCGGAGGCGGCAGCCCAACCCAGCCCTGCCCTGCCCTCCCCCCACCCCAGCACCATTAGTACTCCTGGTGCGGATCTGTCAGCATTTAGGCCAGAGGCCGGGGTCTGCAGATGAGTCACCCCGTCCAGACCCTGCCTGTACCCCCTGCAGCATCCCTGCCCCCCACCCCAGCCTGTGTGATAGTCAAAGTCTTTATTTCTATCAAAGCTTCCAAAAAAGGAAGGAGAGGCTTTTTCTATAAGAACAAATCAATCTTTGGTATTGCTTAGAAATAAAAAAAGGCAGAAAGACAAGGAGGGAAAGTACACTCGGACCCCCGTTGCCCCCACACCCACGCAGAGAGAGGACAGGGCCAGTCTCGGGGAAGGCACAATCCAACATGAAAGGTAGATCCTATGGACAGGCAGAGACGAGGCTGCCTTCAAGGTGGCCATGGAGCAGAATCCAAGTGGGTGGCCACGGGCGGCCACTGACGGCCCTGCTCCCTGAGTCCAGGGCCAAGGCTTGGTCCCCAGGGCTCACCAGGGTCTCCAGAGCGAGTCTGCCGGGAGCGATGGGGCACCCGATCCTGACGAGATGCTGGCTGTGGGAGGGCCTGAGCTCAGACCCCCACTGGTGTAGAGCGGGATGATGGTGCTGCCGTGGGGTGCAAAGGCCGCGTTGGGGATGAGGAAGGCGAACTGCCCATCGGAAGCTGGCACTAGTTGGAAGCCGCCGCACACCTTGGCACTCTCGCCGACCAGACTGCCGAGTTTGCAGGAAGCCACGCTGCCAGAAGGGGGCGCCGTGCCGGCGGGCATCTGTACCAGAGGCTGCCCCAAAGAGGCTCCGTGCTGGGCGCCGGGCGCCGGGGGCAGCGCTGCAGATTGCGGGGCGGGGTAGTTCAGGGCGCTGATCTGACTCAGGCAGCCGGCCAGGTGTCCAAGCAGCCGGTTCCGGACCTCCGTGTTCACGGCCTCGCAGGAGGAGAGGAAGCGAGTCACCTCGGTCATGCACTCGTTGAAACCTGCTCGGTACTTGCACAAGACGGAGGGGTCCGTGCTGAGCGCGGCTGCCGGCAGGAAAAAAAGCGGCAGCAGTCAGGGGAGGAGTCGGCGGCCGTGCAGGCAGGCAGGCAGCAGCAGCAGCAACTAGGGGCCTCTCTCCCCCCCCCCCCCGCCGCTCACCAGCCCCCCCTGGGGGGGAAAACCCCCCCCCCCGCCCAGGAGGAAGGTCTGAATCCGGCCAGGCTGCAGGCATCTGGGCCTCTGGGAACCGGACACCCACAAGCAACAGAAGGCTGCCCCCCACCCCGGGCCTGCGAGAGGCCACTCCGCCTTCTCCTTCGGCCCCACCGCAGGCTCCTTTCCGGAATGGGAGCGACTTGGAGCTGTGGCTATAAATATTGCGAGAGCCAGACCGTGGGAACGCGCGCCTGAGCCAAGTCAGTGAAAGGCAGCTTGGATGGCATTCAAAACCACAGGCGGAAGTCTGGAAGAAGTCACCCCTGGAGGGGGAGGGGGAGGGGGAGGGGTCCACCCGCCCGGCCACTCACCGGTCATCTGGGCCCGCTGCAGGCTGCGCAAGTGCTTCACCGTCATTTCCAAGATATCAGCCTTCTCCAGCTTGGAGTGCCGGGAGCTCTGGGGGCAAACAGGAGGCAGGAGGGACATGAGCCCCGGTGAGGGGAGAGGTGGGGGGAGCTTTAGCTTAGCTGGACGCCAAGAACAGCCTCCTTTTCTGCCTGGGGGGAAATGACACGCCCCACCCTCAAAAGAAGGAATCACGCCTGGGGGTTGGGGGGGGTGTCTCCCACTCCACAGGTCTATAGAGGACCTCAGACGTTGGGGGGGGGAGGACCAGGGAAACTCGTCGCTGCGCCCTCCCACCCCCACCGCCCGTCTGCGGAACATGCCCTGCGGCGCCCAAGGCTGATCCGCGTCCAGAAGAGTCTAGTCGCTGGGGAGTTGGGACATCCAGAGGGCATTCCCTGTTTCGCCAAACCCTTCCGTGCCTCCCGCCACTCACGTCCTTCTTGAGGGCGTCCAGGATGAGCGTCTTGAGCTGCCCCAGGCTCTCGTTGATCCGGGCGCGACGCCGTTTCTCCATGATCGGCTTGGAGGACTGTGGGGAGAAGGCGAGTGCAGCGGTGGGCCGAGCCGCGGAGAGGCGCCCCCGCCCGCTCCCCCGCCCGGACCCCTCTTTTACCTTCCGCTGCTCGGCGGCGGTGCGGGGCTTGTCCGGAGTGGAGTGCGCGCTGGCCGGGGTGGCCGCCGCGGGCGAGGAGGAGCTCTTCTCCATCAGGTCGGCGGGCATCGTGGCCGCGGGAGAGCCGGCGCGACTCGGGATCCGGCGCAGCGTCCCCTGCAGCGACTCGGGCGGGCGTGGATGTGGTGGCGTGACCCTCTCCGCCGGCGGCAGCGACTGCCGGCCCTTCCCACTACGGCACCCCCTCTACGCTTTCCTGCGGTCGGAGCTGCCGGCCTATGGAGCCGCCCCCAGCCCTGCGCAGCCCCGGCCGGCTCCCTGCCTGGCGGCCGCTATTTATAAACTGCCCTGCACGCGAACGGCTCGTGTGAAACTTGCCAAACTTTCTTTCCCACAGTGACTTTCAGCCAATGGGAGCGGGAGGCACGCGGCCCCGCTCGTGGACGGTGCCCACCCATTGGCTGCTCGGCGCACCGACCGGTGGCCAATGGCGCACGCCTGGCCCCCGGGCACCAGGAGCCGCGCTGTCAATCACGCGGCCGCTTTAACCCTCGCGGCGCCGCCGCCCCGCCCGGCCGAGGAGGGGGCGCCGGTCGCTGGCCTTTGCGAGGCTGGGAAGACCGGCCGGGGCGCGCCCAGACCAAGGGGAGCCCCTGTTTGGCCCCCGCAGCTGGACCCGGGGGGCCACGCGTGGAAGGCCGAGGGCAGAGCGGCAGGCAGGAGGCTTTCCTCCAATCTAGCCTCCCTCCTCGGCTCCAGCCGCCTGGCTGCCCGCAGGCGCTGCCCCGGAGCGCGTGCCGGAAGGTCTCCTGCAGCCGCCGCCGCCGCCGCCGCCGCCACCAAGGGCGAGGCGGGAGGACGCTGTGCGGCTTGGCGGCCGGGGAGAGAAGCCGGGCACGCCGCCGCCGCCAGAGCCTGGGAAAACCCCGCCTTCCGGGGAGGGAAGCGAGGAATGCGGTCTTTCGGGCGGGAGAGGGCAGCGGGCAGAGGCCTCCCCTTTCGGCGGCGGCGGCGGCGCTGGACTCTCCAGGAAGGGAAGGGGCGAGAAGTGGGTCAGAGTCGCTCTCGTGCCCTCGAAATGACAGGTCCGGGGTCGTCGAGCTTCTGGGCCTCGGCGGTTTAAATTGACGCGGCCTTTAGAAAAGAGGACGCCTCCCCTCCCCCAGCTCAATGTTCGAAACCATCAAACGGACGAATGTATTTTCATTCCGAGTTTCACGTGTAATTACTGAGCTGTTGATTACAGCGGAAGGGCAGCCAGCTAGAAAGCTTCGGGGCTGCGGAGTCCAGTCCTAATTAAGCCTGGTAAGCGAAATAGAGTCCTAGGGCTGGAAGGGCCCCTGGAGATCTTCTAGTCCTACCCCGCCTCCCGCCGAGGCAGGAGCCTTGCTCTGTCCCGGACGAATGGCTGTCCAGCCTACTTCTGAAAAATCCCAGAACTCTTGGGTACAGGCGTGGCGGGTGCGGCTCCTTCTTAGTCCAGGTCGAAAGGAGGGGCTGATGGGGGGAAGGGCACTGAGTCAGTCCCTTGCACTTCCTGAAAGGGGCTGCAAGGAGGGAGCTCTCCTCCCTACAACTGCGCTACGGCCAGTCTGGTGTGGCCAGTTCCCATGCTCAAAACAGGGACGGCGGCCGAGGCTTCCTGTTGAGGTTCCGGGGAGAAAGCCAAGTCAGCAGTCAGGATCCAGCCCACTGCCCTACCCCGCAAGCTGTAAGGGTGGATCCACCGGAGCTCGCAGGATCTGCCGTCCGGCTTCACTGGCAGGCCTTGGAATCTCACCAGCTCTCCTCCCGTCAGCCCCTTTCCAATTAATTGGCCTGAGTGGAGGCTTTGCTCTTTCCTGCTCTGCCTTTCAGCTCCAGTTAATGGGCAAGCAAAGCAGGGAGTCTGAGCCCCCTTTGCTATCCACATGCCAGGAATGAATTCAAGTCTTCCCTCGATTTGCTTTGGAGCCAAGCAAAGGGGGCATCTGATTGAAATGCCCTTGAAGACCCCCAGCCAGGCTGATGTCTACGCTTCTCTCCTCCCCAGTTCATGGGGGAAAGGGGGCCCTCTTGCTCCTGAAAGGGCAAAAAGCCCAGCCTGCCTTTTGGCTACTGTACTGCCTGGAGGGTGGGGGGGAGAAGGCGAGGTGCTTTGGAGCATCTACAAACTGCTACCCTCCCGTCGGGAGAGGCGAAGCGTCTCATGGCTGGTCAAGAATGTGGCCCAAAGGTGCGGCAGAGCCCGCGACCCCCCACTGCAGTTGCTTTGAGGTCTGTCAAAGGATGGCCGACCACGGAAATTCGGGTCTCTGGTTCCCTCCTTGCTGAGTGAGCGGCAGCTGCTTGGGAGCCCAGAGGAGGGGGAGCTTTGGATTGGGGCCCCAGCATCCCGCCACAGGGCGAGTGTCTGAGCTGGCCGCAAGCTCAGCGGAGAGTCGGAGGCAACAGGCCGGGTCCCAATTCTGTGCCGACAGAGGCTGCTGCTGCTCGACGGAGAAGCGGCCAGCTCCCTTCCCTCCCTCCCTCGGCCGGCTCTGGCTCCCGCGCTGCTGAGTTCGAGGGGGCGAGGAGGGGGGCCGTTTTGCCGGCGGCCCTGGAGGCCTTTCTCCTCTCTTCCTTCGCTTGACTGACTTTCTCACACTCGCATTCCCTCCGCCGCTCCGCCGGCTTAGGCTCAGTCCGCCGCCTGCCAAACGCCGCCTTGCTCGAGTGCAGGGCCCCCCGCCTCCTCCTCGCTGAGGCTAGGCGAGGCTCAGCGCGGTCCCCTCCGCACCTGGCCCACCCCCGCCGTCTCACCTGACCGCCCCTGCCCAGACCGTGAGAAAAAGGGCGAGCAGAGAGCGCCCGCGGGGGGCCCGGCCAGGACTTCGGCGCGTGCCCCGGGAATAAGGATAGGCAGGCCGGGAACTGGGCCTTTGCTGGATCTGCGAAGCAGACGAGGGAGGGAGGGAGGGAGGGAGGGGAAAAGGACAGAAGGAAGGAGAAAAGGAAAGAGGGAGAGAGGCAGGCAGGCAGGCAGGCAGGCAGGCCGGTGGGCCATGTTGTGCCTGTCTAGCTCAGACTTGGAACTGGGCTGTGTTTGGAAGAATCTGAAGGGAAAGCCAACCAGCCATCCACCCCCGAAGCAGTCAGGGAGAGTAACTCCTACCCTGGGAGCTGCAGGGATGAATTCAGCAGGAAGTGAACTCAAGGAGGTGCAACCTTTTCTCAGCCTCAAAAGGCTGCTCCACCTTTTGAGCTCAGACTTGGAACAAAACCCAGGGGTTTGGCGCTCTGCACCAAGGCTGTTTCCAGATGTGTTCTGCGTTCTTTCAGGACACAGACTGGGTAGTGCCTGGTGGAGGCTTCATTCCTGCCTGTTCATTGGGGGGGGGGGCTGTGGGCTTGCAAGGATGGGAGGCAGAAGTGGGGAACCAGAAGGTGAAGGAAGCATCTCTTCGGGGTCTGAGAAGCCCCCCTGCCTCAGGGGCAGCCAGCTTCTATTCTTTGCTGCACGAGTTGTAACCCAGGACAATGTTGCTGTGGGTTTGCCTTCTGCAGTTGTGCATTTTATGGGAAGTCGGGGCCAAATGCAAATCTCCCCATCGAGCTTTTGGTGTGCTCTGAATGCTCACAATACGTTGGATTTTCCTTCCTGGAACAACTTTGGTAGAGTATATTTTTACTGCTGTTATGTTGTTCACTGTTTCAGGTAAAGTTATACAGTCAGGTCCAGAAATATTGGGACATTGACACAATTCTAACATCTTTGGCTCTATACACCACCACAATGGAGTTGGAATGAAACAAACACAATGTGCGTTAACTGCAGACTGTTAGCTTTAATTTGAGGGTATGTACATCCAACTCAGGTGAACGGTGTAGGACTTACAGCAGTTTGCATATGTGCCTCCCACTTGTTAAGGGAACAAAAGTAATGGGACAGAATAATAATCATAAATCAAACTTTCCCTTCTTAATACTTGGTTGCAAATCCTTTGCAGTCAATCACAGCCTGAAGTCTGGAACGCATAGACATCACCAGACGCTGGGTTTCATCCCTGGTGATGCTCTGCCAGGCCTCTACTGCAGCTGTCTTCAGTTCCTGCTTGTTCTTGGGGCATTTTCCCTTCAGTTTTGTCTTCAGCAAGTGAAATGCATGTGCAATGGGATTCAGGTCAGGTGATTGACTTGGCCATTGCATAACATTCCACTTCTATCCCTTCAAAAACTCTTTGGTTGCTTTTGCAGTATGCTTTGGGTCATTGTCCATCTGCACTGTGAAGTGCCGTCCAATGAGTTCTGCAGCATTTGGCTGAATGTGAGCAGATAATATTGCCCAAAACCCTTCAGAATTCATCCTGCTGCTTTTGTCAGCAGTCACATCATCAATAAATACAAGAGAACCAGTTCCATTGGCAGCCATACATGCCCACGCCATGACACTACCACCACCATGCTTCACTGATGAGGTGGTATGCTTAGGATCATGAGCAATTCCTTTCCTTCTCCATACTCTTCTCTTCCCATCACTCTGGTACAAGTTGATCTTGGTCTCATCTGTCCATAGGATCTTGTTCCAGAACTGTGAAGGCTTTGTTAGATGTTGTTTGGCAAACTCTAATCTGGCCTTCCTGTTTTTGAAGCTCACCAATGGTTTACATCTTGTGGTGAACCCTCTGTATTCATTCTGGTGAAGTCTTCTCTTGATTGTTGACTTTGACACACATACACCTACCTCCTGGAGAGTGTTCTTGATCTGGCCAACTGTTGTGAAGGGTGTTTTCTTCACCAGGGAAAGAATTCTTCGGTCATCCACCACACTTGTTTTCCATGGTCTCCCAGGTCTTTTGGTGTTGCTGAGCTCACCGGTGCATTCCTTCTTTTTGAGAATGTTTCAAACAGTTGTTTTGGCCATGCCTAATGTTCTTGCTATCTCTCTGATGGGTTTGTTTTGTTTCTTCAGCCTAATGATGGCTTGCTTCACTGATAGTGACAGCTCTTTGGATCTCATCTTGGAGTTGACAGCAACAGATTCCAAATGCAAATAGCACACTTGAAATGAACTCTGGGCCTTTTATCTGCACATTGTAATTGGGGTAATGAGGGAATATCACACACCTGGCCATGGAACAGCTGAGAAGCCAATTGTCCCATTATTTTTGGTCCCTTAACAAGTGGGAGGCACACATACAAACTGCTGTAAGTCCTACACCGTTCACCTGAGTTGGATGTACATACCCTCAAATTAAAGCTGACAGTCTGCAATTAACGCACATTGTGTTTGTTTCATTCCAACTCCATTGTGGTGGTGTATAGAGCCAAAGATGTTAGAATTGTGTCGATGTCCCAATATTTCTGGACCTGACTGTAGCTGTTGGAGGTCTTCTAGCCCAACCCCCTGCTCAAGGGTCAGTAGGAGACCCTCTGTCTGTGGAGCTTCTGAGTCCTCCAGGTCACGGTTGTCCCAAAGGTGCTTTTCAAGAGGCAACTGGACTTTCTGGTTTTTCTTTGAAGACGTTTCGCTTCTCATCCAAGAAGCTTCTTCAATCTGTAGCTCTGAAGAAGCTTTTTGGATAAGGTTTCCCAGCAGAGAGAAGGCCTCTGCTCTGCCTGCCTTCCTGAGCCTTGGCTTCCTGAGAGAAGAGGCCCCAGTAAAGGGCCCTTATCTGTGGGGGGGGGGCGGTGAGGGGAACAGGCTGCCTGGCTTCCTGCTTTCTGCCACTCCTGTTGGGAGGGGGCATATTGCCCAAGCAGCAGCAACCCTGCTGTGAATCACAGGGTGCTGCCTTGCCTAAGGGGAAACTGTGTGTGGGGGGGTCTCCTAAGGA